GAAGAGCAGACGTGTTTTCTAGCATTGCTGCAGCCATGCGGCCAGCCGATGGGGTGCCGGGGAAGGGAAGCCACAGCGGGTGCTGAGAGTGCTGACAGGCAGACCCCAGGCTGGCTGGGATCGTGCTGAGGAGGTAAGCTGCTGAGAAAACCAGGCTCTTTCTTCAGTCGAGGATGACTTGATGAGCAGCGACTTCAAGGGAGATTCACTCCATCTACCGTCAGGCATCTACAGAGCAGATTTCTGTGCTTGAATTAGTCACTGTAGTTGCCTTTTCCAATGAATGCAGAGAAATGGCCACTTCTTAGGGAAGATTTCTTGATCTATTTTAGACACCTTTCATATGAATTGCTACCTCAAAGTAACTCTTTTCCTGCCCTGACTATACAGGGTGCCTAGGTGGCTCGACATCAGCAAAAAATATGGTAAAAGCACAACTCACTTCAAGGGAAGACTGGAAGGTATTTGAAAGATAGATCTATTAGGAGTTACTAAATAGGTAAAGCTCATCATACTGAGCTGAAAATAATTAGGAGCTGGGAAAGAAAGTGGCGCGATTTATCCAACTTGCCCCCCATTTCCTTACTCTTCCCTAAGCCCCTGCCTACCGCCTCTGTTGGCTTTTGAGCTAGGCAAACCCTTGGTCTGACACAGTATGGCCACTCTTCAGATCTTATGACCAATTCTGTTGTCTGCATCTCCCCTGTAGACACTTACATTTTATCAGATGAATTGCACCCACCTTGTGCCAAAAATGAGACCCAGACAGTAAGCAGTATGTGCTCCTGCAAATTAAACTGTGGTATAAATAAATAAATGAAACAAATGCCAACAAAGTGGTGCTGCAGCAAGCTGAGATAAGAAATCATTCTTGTATAAGCCTTTTCACATTATTGAACGAGACATTCAAAATAAGGCACGATATGTTTCATGTTCTTGTCTATGCCATGGAATATGTTTTCGAAAGCATTAATTGGCAGCATTAATAAATGCTAGTCTGACCAGTGGCTACTGAACTTTGTCATCCCAATATCCCAAAAGTTTAAACACTGCTTCCCACCCATCCCACCACGTACTTCTAGGATTGAAGCAGACTTCATTAGAGTGAGATTTGGTCCCCCCGGGAAAAAAAAAAAAAGTCCCCCAACCCCCCCCCAATCCCACCTACCTATAATTCCAAAGTAATCAAGGACCAGAAAGAGGAAAAGCAATATTCCAAAACTGAGGGGGAAAAAATATTTTTGCCGTAAAAGGCAATAATGACCTGTATTCCTCCTCTTCCCTGCCATGCTTTGCTTGAAGTGTTACTAAGTGTGGCGCATCTGCTTGGCCTCGAGGTCAAGGGCAAGAAGAGCAGAGAAGCACTTTTTGGTGATTTCTCAGTCATTCAGAAAAGTGCAAAGGAATGCGAGCCTTGCAGGTGGGGGCATTCACTGTGCAGAGAAGGGAAAGATAGCTGCTGAGGGAGGGCATCGACCCGGCAAGGTGTGTTCCCAAAAAAAGCAGAAAGCACAGGGAGGCCAATGCTGCAGCTGATGCAAAAGCAGACTGCTGCGTGGGGGACCCTGGAAGGCAACCCTGGTGGGTTCTGTAGCCCTTCTCCTGCATGGAGAAGAAAGCTCTTGGTGGGAGCGTGGCAGTGAGAGCAAGCATCATTTTTTTTGGAAACTTTGGTATTAGTGCACACGTATTAGCATGTATATCTCACGTACGTTCTGCATCATGCAGCCTTTGTCTAACAAACACACGTATTTTTATACAACACATTGTTTTTTATAACGAAATCTGGAACTTGGCGCACTTCCCTTTCACACGGGTGCTGTAACACGGAGCCCACAGAGCGGCACTGACTCTGGCTCCTTCTTCTGCCGTTCTCCCCCCCGCCCCTGCGCCCGGACCTCCAACTTGTTGGCCGGGGCAGCGGGTTGACAGAGCCGTGTCTGCAGGGAAAGTTACGCGTTTTCCGCCA